CCATCACATATCTTTTATCACCTCTGCTTAATATTCTTATTGGACCACAGAGATCCATATGAACCAGTTTCATCGTTCTGGTGGTACTTACTACTTTCTTGCATTTAAAAGAGGATCTTACTTGCTTCCCCCTTGCACAAGCCTCACAAACTTTGTCTTCCTTGAACTTGATGTTAGGCAGTCCTATCACCAAGTCCTTGAAGACAAATTTGTTGAGTTGACTCAGACTTGCATGTCCTAGTCTCTTATACCAAATGAGGGGATCACTATCCATTACACTTAAGCAAGTTAATTCTTTTCTGAAAGTGTGGACAGGTCTAATATATATATATATATATATATATATATATATATATATATTGTTCACTCTTTTTCTCTGCAAAACAATCTTGTCAGTGATAAGATTAATCACGAAACATTTAGTAGAGGTGAATGCTTCCAAGTTACCTCTATTACACAATTCTGATACACTTATTAGACTGTATTTCGGGCCGTCTATCAAGGAGACATTCTCAATGGAATAAGAGTCATTCTTACCTACCTTACCAACCCCAATGATTTCATCTTTCTTTCCATTTCCAAAGGAGACATTTCCTCTTTTGAGGTCCTCAAGTAAAAAGAACTGGTCCTTGCTTCCTTTCATGTGCTTTGAGTAGCCACTATCCATGTATCATATTTGGGCTCCCCTTCACTTGAACCTGCAAAAGGAAATCAGGGGTTAGTCTTAGGAACCCAAACTAGTTTGGGTCCCTTTCTATAGGCAAAAGGATGAATTAGATTCTTTTTAACCCAACTTGGTAGCCAATTCTTCCCTTAAACAAAATTTTTGTTCTTTTGACTGGCCCTTTCCTTTTCACTACATTCACTTTTATATTTTACCTCAGTGAGTGCACATCTTGTTCTCAGGAAGAGTGAGGTACTTGCTTTTAGGATCCCACTTAGGGAGCTGATTCTCAAAGCCAAGTCCTCTTCTATTGCTACTATGATGTTCCTGTAGCCATCATAGAGCATCAAAGCACCTGTTCCATTTACTAGTTCTGTCTAGTTCATGCTTGACCTTGCCTAGATCCTCCTTCAACACTCTTACCTACTCATCCTTCTTATACAACTCATCTTTCAGTTTACCTACATTTTCTTCTAGAGTGAGTTGTGTGCAACCAACTGTCTTTTTACTTGTTCCTAATTTTAGTTTTAGGTTTTCAGATTTTAGCTCTAGGACATTTTCTTCAAATGCATGAACCTGTTTCTTTAGAGCAGTATTCTCACTTACAGTCTCACTGACTATGAGTTCCAGGTTCTTATACTTTGCTTTAGCATCACACATTCCTTAGACAACTGTTCCTTTTCATTATTTATATCCTCAAATTCATCAATGAAATCTAGCAATAATTCAGAGAGTTTTTCTTTAGACAAAAACTTAATCTTGTCTTTGAGATGAATTATACTTACCTCAGATTCCTCATGAAATTCTTTATCTGATTCTCCAATTGCCATAAGTGCTTGTTCATCTCCATCTTCATCATCTGATTCCTCATCTGAACTTTCTCCCCAAGCAGCAACCATAGCCTTTGTTGATCCTTTGTTCTTCTTAGGATGGACCTGTTCCTTCTTCCTGTTCCTTCCTTCTTCCATTCAATTTCCCATTGAGGGCAGTTCTTGATATTATGATCAGTCTTCCCACACTTGTAGCAGCCCTCATTGGTCATTTTTTTAAGAACCCTTGTTTTGTTGTAATTTTCACCTCTTGAAGAACCCTTTCCTCTCATTAGGTATTTCTTGAAGTCCTTCGTGATTATAGCCATTTCATCTGCCTCTAGATCAGCACCTTCAGTGATTCTAAGTGCCATGCTCCTTTCCTTTTTGGGCACATCCATCTTCATGGTTTTCCTTCTAAGTTCATAGGCAGTGAGATTTCCAATAAGCTCATCCAGCTTAAGAGTTGCAATGTTATCCGATTCCTGAATTGCAGTGATTTTGCTTTCCTGACATACTGGCAGAACCCTTGTCAGAATCTTCTCAACTTTGTCTTCTTCAAGAAGAATCCTTCCGAGAGACTTAAGTTTATTTATCAGTGTGGTGAACCTTGTCTACATCTCTTGGATAGTTTCTCCTTCCTCCATAGCAAAATTCTCATATTGAGAATATGGTAGAGTACCTCCGGACCTCTTCACTTGAGGTGTTCCTTCATGAGCCACCTTGCAAAGTGTCCCAAATTTCGTTAGCAGTAGTACAACTTTAAATTTTGTTGTACTCGTCTGGACCAAGTCCTCACACAAGTCATTTCTTGGCCTTAGCATTCTTCTCCCACTTTCTCAAGTCCTCAGCAGTGCAGTCAATTCTTGTCTTTGGCACATCTACTCCTTCAGCATTCTTCTTCATGGTAGCCAAAGGACCATCAGTAGCAATGTCCCACAACTCGTAATCTTCTCCAATTATGTGGTCTCTCATTCTGTTTTTCCATCAGAGTAGTACTGGCCATTGAAGAGTGGTGGCCTAGAGTTGACTGTCCTTCCCAGTTCCCAGGTGGTGCACTCATCTTGATCTTCTCCTAAGGTGTTAGTCTCTTCAAGGATAACCTTCTCTGATACCAATTGATATTTTATACTTCAATACCATACAAGAGGGAGGCTGATTTATGTAGTGTCCAATTTTTCGTGTGTACAGATTATAGAATGACTTGGTTCTTCTATGTGTTCCAACTACTACTGTTGCGGAATAATAAGTACAGAAATTAAAGAACACAAGGATTTTACGTGGAAAACACCTGGCTCAAAAGGTGAAAAAACCACGACCTACTTCCCAGTAGGATTTTCCCAAAACTCTTTACTAAATCAGTGAGCCAAAACTGCATTTACAAAAACTCTTTTGTAAACCTAGGACTACCTCTAATCCCTTGTGGCAAACCAGCCTCTAACTGTTTGCGACAACTTCAAGTTAACTCTAACTTGAAAACACAAAGTACCTATTACAAATGCTTATAGATAAAGTTGAAAGATACAAGATAAAACCACCTACTACAAATGAACTAGACTAAAAGACAAACACTTGAGACTAGTTCTTCTAGTTGGTTCAAGTAGCTTCAGGTTTGCACACTTAAATCTCACACGAACTGCTTGTAAAATTGTCTTGCTATTTTGCTCTCAATTCACGTTTAACTTATGCTTTTGTGTGTACCTGTACAATAAGAACATACTACAATATATAGGGTTAGTAGATAAAGAGTTAACTAGAATCCTCATGCTACTCTTCCTGGTTGGAAGATTTCTAGTCAATCTCAACTCCTAAACCCCTCCTTATCTTAAACAATGTTCTTATTGAGTAAGAAGTCCTTCTCCTCATCGTTTTTGCAATCTTTTCGATCAGGAGATATCTATTCTGCAAGAATACGTTTATCTCCTGCATGTGCATCCCACGTGCCTTGACTCTGCCTGTGTCTATGTCTACCAGTGATGAACCCGGTTCATTTATGAGTTCCTTTGTCAATCTTCAAAACTATTCATTTTCTTGGGCCAACAAGGACTGTTCAATCAGGTCGGTTATTTTCATTTTTTGTTATTTTCCTTAGATTTAATAGTTGTAAGTGTTTTATTATGCTCTGTTTGGTTGTAGGTTTAGAAAATTTCCTACCGTTAAGCTCAGTTTTTGGTAATTTTGGTTGATTTATGAGATATTTTTTCTTTTTGTTATTTCCAAAGTGTTATGTCTCCTGCCTTAGTATAAAAAAGAAGAAGAAGTGATATGAATGAATGAAGGAAAAAATCCATATCCACTGATTGAATTACATCAAATTTAAAATTTAGCCACTATTTCCAATGCCTACCATATGATTTTAAGATTTCTACTGACAGTGTAATGATTCTTTTTACATAATTTATACAATTTAATCCGTTAAAACATGTTATTTATTAATTACTTAATTAGATCACCAATCAATGTTATTAAATAAGGTTACACGCAACTACCTTTTTTAAATTTAAGCTTTTAGTCGATAGAACTTAAACTCATAATTTGGAACTATATCAAGATAATGAATGCTATAGATCTGGTTAATTTCAAGATAAAGCTCTATTCCATATGTAATAATACAAGCTTTCAGTTGCCTATTTTTCAACTGCTATACAATCTATTTTGAGCTATCAAATATGATGTCATAACTCAATAAATTGATAGTAGACATTTTTAGCAAGCAAGGTAACCAAGCTGGCGAAGACTAGATTAAATTATTGATTCAAGTTGTGCACTATGTATTTTATGGTGTCGAATCTCTAAAGTTAAGGATTTTGTCATTTTCGTGTGTGGATGTAATGAAGTATTAATTTTTTAGAATGAGCAAAAAGCAGTGTGTATATTTTATTATTTCAGGCCATAGCTAATACCGTTAAACTTTTACTGGCAATAAATTGGATATATGTTAACCATATCAAAAAGGTGCTAGAAAAAGAAGTTACCATTTCTGGCAGTATGTTGGTCTTTACCGGCAATAGTAATTCTCCCTAAATATATGAACTAAGATATTCGTTAACCACTTTTAGCGGCCACTTCAATTGCCGGCGAATGATCGCTGTTAATTGGCCGACCTTTTAGTGGCAATAGTTTGGGTCTTTACCAGCTTTCTTATTTATGGCCGCTAAAGCCTTTAGCGACGCTGGCAGCAGCGGCAAGTAAACAATTGCCAGTAATAGTTTTTGCGGCAATTGTTATTGCCACTAAAAGCTTTTTTGGTTATAGTGCATCTTCCGGAAACCCATGCCTACAGAGAAGCTGGTAAAGTGAAAGATATTGTTGAGTGAATTCGACATCATCTATGTAACTCAGAAGACGGTTAAGAGACAAGAATTAGCGGATCATCTTGCGAAAAATCATGTAGGAGGAGAATACGAACCACTAAAAACGTATTTTGTTAGTGTTTAACTTATCAAAAGATAGTAGGGTCATTCCATGATGATAAATTGATAATGTTAAGAACTTCTTAGTTTCAAAACTGAAAATTGAAAGCTTCATTTCATTTGTTGTAACACATTCTTTTAGTTTCCTACTTTACAATCTATTTTGAGCTATCATTTACAAAACAGTATGTCATGACTCAACAAACAAGAAGCTGCTGGTTTCCACTTTCTTGGTGCAAAGAATAAGCTGAATAGCAACAAGAAGTAACTGAGAGGAGCAATGCTTTGTGAAGATTTCCAGCGGCCACACCTTTCTTGATTAGTGAAATGATGTAATCCATGAACGCTGAATCACATGGTAATTTAATAGGGCCGCCACTCGGTAACCCAAATTCTTCTTCAGACATGTTTAAGAGTTGCCTAACGACCTCATTTTCAAGGTATGCCAAGGGAATTACAAATCGCCTTTGATCGATTGTATAGACTACAAAATGGCCCTTTTCAACTATAGAGGATGAAGTTGTACTACAACTGTCTGAATCACTACCATTTCTTGGAAATGAAATCCTCTTCCTCTGCTTGGCCGCGAACTTCTGCCATCTCCTAGCCATTTTGATGAGTTTCTTGGCACTGATCATTGTCTGTTTTTTTGGAAGATTGAAACAAGAAATTTAGAGACTGTTTGAGGGTTGAATTGTTAATGCTTGTACTGAATTGGTAATGAAAAGGCTCATGAAAGGGGGATTATTTATACAAGAAACTGGCGACGACTAATCTTTATAGTTGGAGCTGAAGTTTTTGTTACTAACAAAAGGCAAAGCCATGTGCTGATGCCTGTTGGTCATGTTGATATGGGGCCTTAAATTTGTGGATGAAGCTACTTTGAAAGGATGGAAAATAATAATAAGGTTCTTCATTTCTTCACTTTGGTTGACAACAGATTGGACCTATTAGGTATGATATCAGCTCATACTTAAATAATTTGAAGCCATTAAATGAAGAATAGCTGGTAGAAGGCAAAACCATGTGCTACTCCTTTCTTTGTCATGTAGATAAGGGATATTTAAATTGTCATCTTGTCCAGTCCTATTCTGCTTTTGTTATAACAAAATTTTTGGGCTTAAGTAACACTGTTGACAGACAAAAAATACATTAACAATAAGAAAACCGAACTATTTTTTGGTTAAAAGTGTCACAGCAAATTAAGCGATTCAGGAACCAAAGAAATTAGTCGTTTGCAATTAAATTGGAAGTCTCTTTTCTTTGTTTTTTCTTCTTTACATGGGAAGAATGATAAAAAGATCATTTTGTCACAAAATGGTGTAATTTATGTGTACGAAAATGAAGGATATTGATAAATAGAAAGATCATTTATCACACTTTTCGTCGAGAAACAAAAACTGTGATATTAACCAGTGCAAAATACAGCTTAAAGTCTTCTATTTGAAGTATTATGCTTCTTGACTTTTGTTCTTTATCTTATTTGAAAAATTGGTTTAATGCAGCTTTGACATAACTTTTTTATGAATTAGGACTATAGAAATTTGGACATTCTACACATTTAGAACTCTATTTTGTTATGCAGGATATCGAGGCTATTTTGTGCGTACTGATTGTTCTATGAATACTTTTGAGGCCAATCTCAAAATTGACAACATAAAATATGATCATACTTCTCTGTTATCCATTGGTTGCTATATACTCTCATTGTTAATGGAGTTTAATTTGGATCCATAGGACTACTAGAATGCAACTAACAGAAATCAGATATAATCACAAAGTTAAAGAGTGTTGACAAGAATATGGAGTTTTAATGAATAATTAGATGTTGAATATTCTGTACACTTGTTGTATCATGTATCTATTACAAAACTTATCACATTTAGGTCAACAAACTAGCAATTCCGGGTTTCTTTGTTCTTGAAGGTATAAAGCAGATGAGCATCGACTAGAAGCTACTGATACAAGCAATGCATTCTGAAGATCTACAGTTACACCTCTTCTGATGAGTGATATGATGTAATTCAAGAATAAGGCATCACATGGTAATGTGATAGGGCCATCACTTGGAAGTCCAAACTCTTCTTCAGACATGTGCAATAGTTGTCTGATTATCTCGTGTTGTAGATAAGCCAAACGAACCACAAATCGCTTCTGATCAGTTGTATAAACCACAAAATTCCCTTTTCCAACTATAGAATAAGTTGTACTGCAACTCTCTGTGTCATAGTTATTGGATCTTGGTACTGAAATTCTCTTTCTTTGCTTGGCTGCAAACTTCTGCCATTTCCTTGCTATCTTGATGAGTTTCTTAGCACTGATCATGTTGATTTCTTCCGTTTATAGGAAAGAAAATATTGTTTGAGTTTTTAGAAGGTTTGATTAAGTTCTATCTGTTTGATAATCAAAATGTCTTATGGAAACAGTTTATTTATAGTTGACGCTAGAGTTATGACTTTGAAAATTGTAGCTCTAGTTGTCAACCTGAGTTAGGTATTAAAGGCAAAAACATGTGCTGATGTTTAATATGGGACCTTAGAAATTGTGGAAATGGCTGGTTGTCCTGTTTTAAGTAAAGAGGTTGATGCATTTATTGAATTATTTGTCACCATATCTTTAAACCAAGTGGTCCAAGACTAAGTCATCAACTTCACCCATTCTTGTGGATTTTATTTTAAGGGTGTCTTTTGTTCCAAATCATAAGAAACAGTAGGGTCTAATGTTGTTGTTCAACAAAATTTATGGTCTGAATACTTTGACATTAACAGAATAAGCAAAACCATGTGAAACTTAATGTGCTGTTGTCGCAAAGCATTTGAGCAGAACACAAGTATCTAGATATTCAAAGAACTTTTATTTTCTGTGCAATTCTCAAAATTCTTGTTCTCTCATTTCCTTCATCATTTAGAGTTACATCATATTTTTTGAGACAATGGGTATCAAAGAGATTCCATTTATTCAAGATAATCGAATCCTAAGGAGGTCTTCAACAACTGAAGGTGTTCCAAAAGGACATTGTGCAGAGACAGCCAGAAGAAGAGATTTGCCATGCTAATATCATACCTGAACCAGCCATTATTTCAAGACTTGTTAGCTCAAGCTGAAGAAGAGTTTGGTTTTGATCATCCAATGGGCGGTCTCACAATACCTTGCAACGAGGTTGTGTTCATTGATCTCACTTCCCGCTTGAGGAGATTATGAGTAGGACCATGGTGCAAATACTTCTGATCACGAAATTTTGTAAATCAACAGTTTTAGAAATGAGAAAGAATGGATTGCAGAGAGAGATCATTTTCATTGTATTGAGGATCTCAATGTAAATATTTTAATATCAGAAGTTCTAGTTCTGGTTACTCACTCTTTAGTCTTATTTGCCTATACAATTCCCAATGTTCTTTCACAGACTTGCTGCTGAACAAGTATTTAAGCACATGCTTTCTTTAGCTGCCCTAGTCTGGAAGAGACTAGTGCATTAGAGAGTGTCATATAACGGAAAAAATGTTTATTCGACAAAATTTCATTTTTGATGTGCGTGAAATCTGGCATCTGACTTGAATCAGAATAAGCTAAAGTTTACTGGAAAATCAACTAATCAACATTCTGCAGACTTAGGCCATTTACAATTGTAGTCACCATCGTTTTAGTTGAACTAGTCAATACTGGGCAATGTATACAAGTACATGAAGAAACAGTTGCGGACGCACGTGGTAGTCCGGGCGGATCCACGATTTAAATTCTATGGGTTCAACTATCAAGTTTTTAGTATTGAACCTATTATATTTTAAAGTTATAGGTTCATATGGTGGTGCTAGTTTAAGGTCGAGAGGACTTACTGGAGAGGGTGGTGGGAGTTGCATGGGAGTGTGAAAGGTCATGTGTTGATGGATCCAGGGTATTTGATAGTGACCTGAGGAGGGGAGAGGATAGAATGGTATCTCCCCAGGTAGGAGTGGTAGTTGTGGGGTTAGTAGTGGGGGAGACGACCAAGTGGAGTAATTCAGAGGAGTTTGTGGAGGGATTGGATATGCGGGAAGTTGGGGATATATTTCCACCGGTGGTGTCATGGCACTCTGATATTGGGTGTAAGCATCCCAACCCAGTCGCATTCCCTCCGTCACAATCTGGGCAACATCCAGGGTGTTTTGAATCATCACTAGGAATTCTTGGTCGTCGATGACAATGGAGAAGGTTAGTGCATGACCCAGGAGGCTCATCTCTAGCCATGATTGTGGTGCTTGAGGAGGAGGATATGGTGTTTGGGAGGTGTATATTCAGTGAAATGGTGGTTGTGGGAGGTGGTGTGGATTTTGCATGTTGTTCTGCATGTG